CACAACTCAAAAGCATCAACTCTTCTTCGGTCTTCCTTATTCATTGTCCAGCTCTCACATGCATATGAAGCGATTGGAAATATCATGGCTTGTGTTATCCTTTAGGGTTACTGTAATTAAAAAGGGCCTAACATAAAGGGTGGCATAGTGCCTAAGGCATGTGACTGCTAACCAGAAGGCTGGCAGTTCAAACCCACCAGCCACTCCTCAGAAGGAAGGTTTGGCAATCTACTTCTGTAGTGATAACACCTGGGAAACCCAAGGAGGGGTTGCTATGAGTCTGATCCAACTTGACAGCAGTGAGTTTGGTTTTTGGTTTAACATAAATGGGCTTCTGGGCTGTTGGCAATGTATGATTCTTTGGTATATGTTCTGGGTATGTATTTGTGCTTTCTCTATGAATACTAATCCATTTTTATACTTAACATTTGTTCAGTTTATTCTAGGTGTCTTATACATTAACAAAATATTCCCCATAAATGTAATTAGAAATATCAGGAAAGAAAAAGCAGTAAACACTAATATAGATTCTGACACCAGAAAACATGAAGCGTTAAAATAATTTAATTTTGAAAATGTAAAAGAAGTGGACAGTTGTTAGAAAACTTCAAATGAGAAAACTGACACAAGAATAAACTGAAATCATGAAAAGTCCTACTATTATTGAAAAACTCTATCTTTAATTATGTCTCTTTTCACAAAGATGTAGGTAGGAGTGATTTCTGCCATAAATTTGACCTAATTTTTAAGAAGAAATAACACCAATATCAAAATGATATTACAGAAAATAATAGAGGAGTACCTCACAACTTATTTTATGTAGTTAACATTGTTGTTGTTGTTGTCATGTGCCGTCGAGTCAGCCCTGACTCATAGCGACCCCTCCTTGGGTTTCCGAGGCAGTATCACTACGGAAGTAGGATTGCCCAACCTTCCTTCCGAGGAGTGGCATTACTTAGATATTAAATCAAAGACATTCATTATAAGATATAAGCTTACAGTTAATCTAATTCACAAAACAAAAACAAAATTAAATAAAATATTTAAAAATTGAATCAAATAGCAGGTCATAGTTGGTTTTATTCTACGAATTTAAAGTTGGTTTAATGTTATAAAAGGAATATACTTATTTGCATAATTAACAGATTAAATTATAAGGAATTAAAATGTAAACAAAACAACAAATTTGTATTGTTGGATTAAAATACATGAATTATTTAGAAGAAATTAAATGCTTTGTGTGAAGATGCATTTCCACTAGAAAGTTATTCATAAGAACAATCACATAATTACTTAACATTATTTTCTTTTTAATTATACTCTCTGGTAAAATATTATGTAGCCATAAATTATAATTATTAAAATTATGAGGGAGAACAGAATAGGTCCAGTATCTGATAAGCAAAGCATATATTAATTGTATATGAAAAGAATTCACATTTTTTATTTAAAAATGTTAATTCATAAATTACGTGTATTTACATTGGATTCAATACTTATAGTAAAAAACATATAGTAAAACATAGCAAAAATCTTATAGTAAAATTCACTTATAAATATTCAAATTAGGTTTGTTCATATTATTTAGACTAATCAGTTATTTCTAGGCAAGGTCAGTTTAAAAGTAACTTAGACTCTCAATTCTCCCAAACAGGATCAACATTCACCTTCAATTACCCATAATAGTTATATGCAATTTAGAACTATATCTTAAAAAATTACTTACCCCATTCCCTTTGCATTTTGTTGTAGAATTACAGTAATTTCCCATTAAGCTGGCTTCTTTGCAGGTTTTATTTAAACAATACTAAAATAAAACAGATATAACATATTTCATAGTCTTTCAAAAATTTGAGAAATAATGAGAACAACCTTAATTATTTGTTATACATGCACAGAATATATACATATTTCACTCAGCATAATATTTATAAGTTTTATCCTTGTTGTGGCATATATCAAGACTTATTTAATCTCTATGGCTAAATAACATATAATTTTATGTATATAACATTTTGTTTATCCATTCATCTATGCTTAGAAAATCTGGGAAACCTTCAAACTCATTATATATTAAAACTTTTCATCAGGTAGGAAACTATGGCAATTCATCTGTTAATGTTTTATTTACCTAGTGTTGCTGTAATGAAAATTACCACAAGTGGGTGCAATTAAAAATAGAAATTTATTTTTTTCATAATTCAAGCAACTGGAAATCCAAATTCAGAGTATTGCTCTAGGGGGAGATCCTTCCTTGTCAGCAGTCTCCAGAATTCCTTGTGTTCCTTCCCTGTGTATGTTTAATCCACAGCATCCTAACTTTTGGCTTCCCAAAATTTATGCCCTTTCCCTGTCCAAAATACATTTCCCATATCATAATAATCTTGATTAAAAGTTAGGTCAATTTCATAATGTAGAAGTTGGTAAAAATTTTCAATTTTTTATCTTTAGCTTTAGTGAATGGTGTGTAAATTTGAATAATAATAGTATTAACTGACCTTCCTTGGAGTCATATGGATATTATCCTACCACTTGAAACACTGTTGTTTAGGATATGTTTCTAACTTTTTTTTTTTTTTTAATGAATGCAACATGATTCCTCTTCAATTTGTCATTCCTGGTACAGTAGACCATATGATTGTCTGATTAAAAATGTCCAGTGTCTGTCCATGTTGGCTCACCAATGGTAGGGTATCAATCTTTATGTGCTTCTTTTCTTTTTTTACATATTCCAATTTACCTAGATTCATACTTCATACATTCCACTTTCTGATTACTAATGCATGTTTGAATGTCTCTTCTCATTTTGAGTGATGACACACCAGCAAATGAGGGTTCCAAAAGCTTTACCCCATCCAAGTCATTAAGATAGACTCTACATTGAGGAGGTAGCTCTTTCCTAGATGTATTTTGAGTACCTTCCAACCTGATGGGCTCATCTTCTATTTCAAACATTGTTTCCCTGCTATTCACAACATCTTCAGAGGCGAATATTTTTCAGAAGTGTACCTGGCTACATCTTTCTTCCTAGTCTGTCTTAGTTTGAAAGCTCCACTGAAACCTATCCCCCATAGGTGACCATGCTAGTATTTGAATAGTGGTCATATTGCTTCCCTCATGACATCAACATGCTAGCCAACACAGTACACACTATGACAAACTGACAGATGAATAATGATTTTATATATATATATATATATATATAT